AGATCACGGTATCTTTTTTAAAAGAACATAAAGCCTCTCTCTCTCTCTCTCTCTTTCTCCTTCTATTTCTCTTTCTCTCTTTCTCACTCTTCCTTTCTCTCTCTCCCTCTTTCTTTCTTTCTCTCTCTCTCTCTATGTTTCTATTTCTCTTTCTCCCTCTCTCTCACTCTCACTCCCCCCTCTCTTCCTCTATCCCGTTCCATCTCTTCCTCTCCCTCTCCTTCTCCCTCTCTCCCCCTCTTTCTTTCTCCTTTTCTCCTTTTATTTCTCTTTCTCCCCCTTTTCTCTCTCTTTCTTTCTCCTTTTCTCCTTTTATTCATCTTTCTCCCTCTCCCTCTCTCTCCCCCTCCCATATCTTTATTTCTTTCTCTTTCTTGTATTTCATTATTTCTTGACCTTGACAATTTTAATAATATTAATAAAGTTTGTTTTGTTTCTATAGTTTAATAGTATTTGTTAAAACTTTTTAATTAATTTATTTATTTATTTGAATAAAAATAAAATATATTTTTATCCTTCTTAATTATTAGGTAGCATTTTTTTTTGTTGAATTCTGTATTCAAATAATTTTAATTATAAGTTTTCATTTTTTTAAAAATAATTTAATATCATATTTATAATAATATTTAAGTAAATAAATATATCTAATAAATTTATTTTAATAAAGGATATTTTTGTAAAAAAAATATTTATATTCCCATGTATATAGTAATATAACTAAACATGAAAATTTTTAATTTATTGGAACCTTATATGAATGTTTTCAAAAACCTTAAAAAAACATTATTATTAATTATCAAAACTTGGAGTTTTACAGTTATGTAAAATTAAAACCATAAAAAGAAATTTTTCTTTTATATAATTAAACCTTAAAATTCATTTTTTTTAATTAACATTAAACTTTAATTAGCTAATTATTGTGCAAGTCCATGTAGAAACATATTTGAACTCATAATCCATTTCAATACTTGCGAATTTAATGTGCTTGTCAAAATTTTAACTATTTTTTTTAAAGGGATAATAATAATAATAATAATGGTAAATATACAATGAATTAATTATCCATATATTGTTGGTGTAAAGTTTTTTACACCAGTAACCAATCATATCTTTTAAATTATTTTATTTTACTTTTATTTTATTAAACGAGCAAATGACATGATACTATTAATAGATATGATTGGTTGCCAATGTAAAAAAATTTCACTAACAATATATAGGTGATTAACTCATATACAATTGTTGTGACAACTAACAACTAAAGAAAAACAACAAACTACGTGGGTTGAAGAAGTCCAAGGAAAATAAATTTAACACTCACCTCACAAACACTTATTTAGGCATCTAGAACCATATATAATTAAGATCGACTATGTGGTGTGGAGAGTTAGAGTTTAAAGTTTGAATTTTATTGCTGTTACAATAATTCTTACAAATTAAAAGATTATTTGGACATCTATCCTAGTCAACATCACCAAACCCCATAACTGAAGTTGAAGAAGTCCAGGAAAATAAAAACATTTTCCCCTGGAGAACCCTTTAAGTAAGGAAAGATATGTAACCTTGGCTTATAATGATCCATGGTTGATTGTGTGAGCAATTGATTAAGTTTTTATGTTAAAAATGAAATATATGAAGGAGTAATGGTCAAATACAGTAATTTGTCAATGAACCTCCTATAGGTATTGTTGGGTAAGGTTTTGTCTTGATTAGGTGAATATTGATTCCAGTGAAATGTTCGCTGGATTACATCTCAAATCATCCCAATCAAAACATTGATGATATAATTAAGAAAACCATATAATTAGATCAAAAGATTTTTTCTTCAACAAGGATTAAATCCAATTTAAAAGCACCTCTATTCTGAAGAACAATTCAACAAACAATGCTATTCAAGATTCTCATATGATAGAGAGAATTCAGAATTGCATAACAGAACTCTTGCTTCTCATTTAATAGAATGAATAAAAAACACTGAAAAATTGTGAATGTACATTACTCTTTTTTTTTTAAAAAAAATGTATTAAATTTTTAAATGTGTAGACTGAAGTTGTTATTAATTACATACGGCTGCTTCCAAAACTTACAAATTAATAACGAAAAAACGCGGAGCTAACTATATAACACGTTAGTAATTAACAACTAATTAATTATGTTAGAAGTCACAAATTAACATGAATGCATACACCCCTCCCCTCTCCGTCCCAAAAACATGTAAAACTATAGTCACATATAAACTTTTCTAAAAATATATATAGCAACTAAAACTAATTAAAAAAGTTATATTATTCTATAAATTAAAATTAATTTATGTACTAGTTAAAAATAAATTTTTGAAAAAGTTGATATCAGGGTGGCCTGAAGGGAGTTTGGGGAGGTAATAGTCCTAGGTCATAGACTCATAAGGGGCAAAAAAAATAATTAAAACAACTTTAATTTGAAGAGCAAAAAAAATTAATTTTTTTTCTAATGATGCTTCAACATAAATTTGCCATTTTTTCAACAATTCAATTCCCAAATTTCAATCGATCCTAACAAAGTTACAAAAGTTCAAGTTTCTACAAAAAAAAAAAAAAAAAAAAAAAAAAA